GCCAGCGCGGTCGGGCTTGGCAGAGGGAGCGGCCGCCCGGCCCCCTGACTCCCGCCTCCGCCCCACCCTGGGCTTGAGCCCCCCGCTTTCCGTTTTTTGTGTTGCGAAGGAAATCTGAGGGTGCGGGCAGGGACCGGGCCTGTGTTGCCCAACAGCCCTGGACTTTACACCTGTGCGATTGCTCCGCCACATTTTGTTTGAGGAGAAAAATCATTAAAATTGGAAGGCAAAAGCCTGAGGCCCCCCGCCCACAGCGGGTCCACCGCCCCACCCTCGCCTTGACCTCTGGGGTCCCCTGGGCTGACCCCGTGTGCCTGCACCTGGGGTGGGCCTCCCCGGCCCCAGGGGAGCGCGCTGGCCAGGTGGGGGTTTCCCTCTGGTTTTCCCTGGTGGGGTGACCGTGGGAAACAGGCCCTCTGGGGTTGGGGTGGTCCCGGCAGTGGCCGGGGGGTGGCCTTGCGGTGTCCGGGCCTCCTGCTTTGGCAGCCTGAAGGGCAGGCCCAGGTGGCGGCAGGCGCCCCACTGCCAGGGCGGGGCCCTGTGGAGAGCGGCCCCTGGAGGGCGGAGGGCTGGCGCCTTCCTGCCCCCCGCCCTGGGGTCAGGATGGTCCCCTGCGTGGCTTTGCGTGGGCGATAACTGCGTGGGCACACTGCGGGCAGCCGCTGGGCCCTGGCTCTGGAGGCGCCTGCTGGGGCTCCCGCTCCTGCCCCTGGAGCGCCCCTCTGGCTGGAGGGGGTGCGGGCGTTAGCCCAAGTCCGGGGAACCCGGGCATTTGAAAACCAGCGGGTCTCTGCCGCCCGCCCAGCCGTCACCCCCAGCCCACCCCAAGCCGGGTTCAGGGCCAGAGTCTCTGAGGAAGGGGATGTTCCCTCTGCCCTGTCGTGACGCTCCCTCGGCCTCACTGCCGCGGAGCCGGGAGCAGACCTGTGCCTGAGGGGCCTGGGCCCCGTACCCCAGGCCTCGTGCCTGCTCGGCCCCGGCCCTCGCCCGGAGCTGCTGGCCTCCTTGGCGCGTCGTCTCCCGTGTCCCCTCGGACACCGCAGTTCCCGCTCGGGCGCTGGGTGACGAGAGGGTGGACGCCGCGGCGGGGTGACTGCACAGCCATCAGGAGAGGCGCGGGGCTTCGTCCCCCGCCACCTGCTGGGATGCCGGACACGGAGCTGGCGGGCCTGCGGGTTTTCCAGACCTGGTTTCTTCCTTCGTCCGCCCCGGCCCTCCCCGTCCTCCCGTGGCAGCGCTGGGGAGCGGCCTCGCCCCGCGTGGAGCAGACGTGCCTGCCGCGGGCTTGGCCGGCTGGCGGGGGCCGGGCAGCAGCTCGGACCTGCGGTCTGCGTTCAGCGTGCGGCTCCTCTGGGCCGGAGGCGGCCGGGCCTGGGCCTGCCGCTGGGAACCCGAGAGGAGAAGCACAGTGGTCAGGGCCAGCCCAGCTTCCCGTGGGTCTGGGCGGCCGGAGAGGCCGGTGGACGCAGGCCAGCGGAGGTTGTGTGGTGAGGAGTGTCCGTGAGTCTGGCTCTGAGCGGCGGCCCCGGGCGCCACGACAGCCAGGCAGCGGTGTCCCGAGTGGGCAGAGCCCAGCGTGAGGACCCCGGCCGCGAGGCCCTCGGGGCGGCGTGAGCCGGGGCCGGTCTGCGGAGGCCCTGCCGGCCCTCCCTGCGCCTGGGCGAGCCGAGCGGAAGCAGCGGGTGCGTTCTGCTGCCAGCGGCCCGTCGCGTAGCTCGTTTTGTGGAGCCGGGGTCGGGCTGTCCACTCGCCCACGCTGACGTGGCGCCAGCAGCCTGGGCCAGGCCCTGGCCGAGGTCTTGGGGGCGCAGAGCCGGCCGGCGCCTCGCCTGGGGAGGTTTGTGCCGGCCAGGCCAGGGCTGAGGGGAGCGTCGGGGTCTTAGGACGGGCGCTGGGCCTTTCCCACAGGCAGGTGGCGGAGGCGACGCTGCAGGCCGTCGGGGGCTTCCTGAACCGCCCCTTCTGGCTCTTCCTGACTTTGTGGGGCACAGCGGGGCGGCACTGGTGGCCTTCCTCTCCCGGTGGCCGCCTGGCCGTCGGGGTTCGCCTGTGACAGGGCTGAGGGTCGCTTCCTGGCTGCATTGCGGGGAGGCTGCCGGGTGCAGGGTCCACTTCCAGAGCCCTCCTCGGGGTGAAGGGGGGTCGTGGAGCAGGGTGCTGGGAGGGCCAGTGACGCGCCTCCGGACAGCGGGGGTCGTGGCTGTGTTCCTGGGACGTCCACTCCGTTGGGGGCTGCGGCTGGTGACCGGGCCTTTCTCTGCCCGTGGTGCTGGATCAGGGTGTTGAAGCCGGACAGAGCGATGGCTTGTGGTGACGGAGTCTCAGGAGGGCAGAGGGCCGTCCGCTGCCCCCGGCCTCCTCTCCCCGCGCGTGTCACGCCTGCCCCCCCTGAAACCCTCGGGTGGCCCGGCGGGTGCAGACTGGCCACCCTGGCCACCCCGGCCACCCTCATTGCTCCTCTGCCTCAGCTGCTGGTGGGTGCTTCGTTTCGGGGTCCGTTTTCTCTAGTAAAATAAAGTGTCTGTCTAATTTGCATTTTATTTCTTTCTAGTTCAAACCTGAACATCAACGACGTCCTGGGGAACTACTCGCTGACCCTCGTGGACGCGCTGGACACACTGGCGGTGAGTGCTCAGCCCAGGCTTCGTGTTCTGGGCCCGCGCAGCTCCGCCCTCCGGGGTCGCCTCCTGCCCGGGCAGGGCCCCGGGAAACCTGGTGCAGCGTGGCCGCCGCCGCGAGGGCCGTGGGCCTGGCCCGTGTCCTGGCCCGTGTCCTCAGAAAGCGTGGGGGGCCGCGCGGGAGCGTGATTCCCCTTGAAGGCCGCAGGAGACGCCGCTGTTGTAGGGAACCCGCCCCGAAGCCAGAGGGGACTGGGCGGGTGCGCACGGTCAGTGCGGCTGGGCCTGGGCGCCGCCACAGCCCTCTCCGCGCCGG